GATGTATGCGCTTACATCGACATCCGTATGATGTAAGCGCTTACCTCGACAGTGCATTCAAATGCCTATAAAAGGGGTATGCATTTTTATTTGCAAATCGTCCCTCAACTTTTTCTTTCTATCTTCAATTAATAAAGAGTTATTCTTTGTGTGGCCGTGGAGTAGGTAAAATTGCCGAATCACGTAAATCTTGTCTTGTCTTGTGTTGTACAATTTATTGCTTTTCTCTTTCAAATATTTTTTCTTCTATTAGCCTGACATATTTTCCAACAACTGGTATCAGAGCACAAACAGTGTAATTCTGATAGAAAAGTACGGTACTGGTGCAGGTATTATTCACAAGAATACTGCGACACTATTGATCATTGTTACTATTCAAAGGCACTATTCACATGTTTTTTTGTGAAAAATGGCATCGGATGAAGGGAAGGTTAAGATTGACAAGTTCAATGGCAAAAATTTTGGATTCTGAAAAATGCAAATAGAGGATTATTTATACCAGAAAAAACGAGGTAAAATCAGAGACTATGGCCAAAGCGGATTGGGATCTATTAGATCGCCAAGCTCTTGGTGTGATTCGTTTGACGCTAACACGAAATGTGGCATTTAACATCATTAACGAGAAGACCACTGCAGGCCTGATGAAGGCGTTATCAAATATGTACGAGAAGCTATCTGTTTCAAATAAAGACTATTTGATGCGTTGATTATTCAACTTAAAGATGACAGAATGTGGATCAGTTACGGAACATATCAATGAGTTTAATATAATATTAACTCAGTTGAGTTCTGTTAATATAACATTCGATGACGAAGTCAAGGCATTGATTCTACTATCATCTCTACCAGAGAGTTGGTCTGTAACAGTAACTGTAGTTAGCAGTTCATCGGGAAATACCAAACTCAAATTGGATAATATTAGAGACTTGGTTCTAAGCGAAGATATTCGTCGAAGAGAATCAATTGATTTCCCAGGATCTTCTTTTAATAACGAAAGCAGGGGAGAAGCAGCCAAAAAAGACAAAGTCATGGTCGTGGCAGATCAAAGTCAAGGAGAATACGGCAATCCAAAAATCGCAAAGACATTACGTGTTAGAATTGCGATAAAAAGGGTCACTACAGTAGTTAGTGTAGAGAGCCAAAGAAGAAAAAGAACGATTAATACAAGGATGATAATTCAGCAAATGCAATTGCCGAACAATTGGGTGATGGTATAATTATATTGCTGGAAAATTCGGGAAGGTTTATCTAGCAGACGACACTCTGGACATTCTTGGGAAAGGTGAAGTTCATATAAAGACTTCACAAGGCACGCTGTGGAAATTGCAGAATGTCCGAAATGTTCCTGGCCTCAAGAAAAATCTGATATCTATGGGTTAGATTGACAGTGAAGGATAAACAACAGCATTCGGTAACGGATCGTGGAAGATAACCAAAGGACATTTGGTTGTGGCACGAGGCTTCAAGAAGGGAACATTGTATGCAACTACAATATAGAGAGATACTATAGTAACAATTGATCAAGGTCGTGATACAACATTGTGGCACCGGAGGCTCGGCATATGAGAGAGAAGGGAATGAAGTTGTTGGTATCCAAAAAAAAGTTGCCAAACCTAAAGCATGTTGAATTAGGTTTGTGCGAAGATTGCATTTACGGGAAACGAAAGAGAGTTAGTTTCTCAAAGGTGGGAAGGACGCCAAAGAAAGAGAAGCTGGAACTAGTGTATACAGATGTGTGGGGACCTGCTCCTGTAACTTCTCTGGGAGGCTCACACTATTACGTCACCTTCATTGATGATTCCACAAGAAAGGTATGGGTTTATTTTCTGAAAAATAAATCTGATGTGTTTGTTACCTTTAAAAGATGGAAAGCTGAAGTTGAAAATCAGACAAGTCTAAAGTTAAAATGTCTGAAGTCTGACAATGGAGGAGAGTATGATAGTCAAGAGTTTAAAGCATTCTGCTCTAAGAATGGGATCAGAATGATCAAGACAATTCCTGGAACACCGGAACAAAATGGCGTTGCTGAGAGGATGAACAGAACCCTGAATGAACGAGCTAGAAGTATGAGAATACATTCTGGATTGCCGAAATATTTTTGGGCTGAGGCTGTTAACACGACAGCTTACCTCATAAATAGGGGACCCTCTGTACCGCTAGATTTTGAAATTCCTGAGGAGGTATGGACAAGAAAGGAGGTAACTCTCTCACATCTGGAATTTTTGGTTATGTTGCTTATGTGCATGTAAACTCTAATGATAGAGATAAGATTGATCCTAAAGCCAAGAAATATTTCTTTATTGGCTATGGTGATGATAATTTTGGTTATCGATTTTGGGATGATCAGAATAGAAAGATCCTAAGACACACGAATGTCACATTCAATGAAAATGTGATGTACAAAGACAAGCTTGAAGTAGAACCAACCAGAACCAGCAGACAGACATCTGAAACATTTAAGTTAGAAGAAATCTCAGAAAATGAATTGGCTATAGAGCCTACAACTGGATTTGAAATTGAAGATGCCGAACCAGAAGCCGAATCTGGATCAGAACCAGAACCAGAGATAGAATCAGATGGAGAACCAGATCTAGAGTCGGGACTTGAATCAAATTCGGGATCAGTTAATCCTGAACCTACATTAAGGAGATCTAAAAGAGTCACGAATACTCCAGATAGGTTAACTCTCTCTCTCTCTCCCCACCATTTACTTCTACTGATGCTGGAGAACTAGAGCATTTTGTTGAAGCAATGTAGGTGATAAGCTCTGATAAGTGGAAGCTAGCCATGAAATAAGAGATGAATTCTCTTCAAAAGAATAAAACATGGATACTTGCAGAGTTACCAAAAGGAAAGAAGGCATTGCAAAACAAGTGGGTGTACAGGGTCAAGGAAGAGCATGATGGTAAGAAGAGATACAAAGCACGATTAGTAGTAAAAGGCTTTCAGCAGAAGGAAGGGATTGACTACACCGAGATCTTCTCTCCTGTAGTCAAATTAACTACTATCAGGTTGGTGCTAAGTATCATAGCTGCAGAAAATTTGTATTTGGAGCAGCTAGATGTTAAAACTGCTTTCTTGCATAGTGACCTTGAAGAAGACATCTACATGAAGCAACCTGAAGGTTTTCAAGTTTCTGGTAACGAAAGCCTTGTGTGTAAGTTGCAGAAGAGTTTGTATGGTTTGAAACAAGCACCCCGACAATGGTACAAGAAATTTGATGGATTCATGCATAATAATAGTTTCACACGATGTGAGATGGACCATTGTTGTTATATCAAAAATCTTGATAAATCCTATATCATTTTACTATTGTACATTGATGATATGCTAATTGCAGGATCTAGCATAAATGAGATCAACAAGGTTAAGCTAACTGGCGTAGGAGTTTGAAATGAATGGCTTAGGACTAGCTAAGCAAATGCTTGGGATGAGGATTAGCAGAAACAGGTCTGAAGGAACATTAAAATTGTCTTAAGAAAAGTACATACAGAAGGTACTAAGCAGGTTCAGTCTTCATGATGCAAAGACCAGAAATACCCCACTCGGAAGCCATCTTAATCTGTCGAAGGACCAATCACCTAAGACAGATGAAGAAAGGAAGTACATGTCCAAAGTTCCATATGCTTCAACAGTAGGAAGTTTGATGTATGATATGGTTTGCACTAGACCTGACATAGCCCATGCATTTGGAGTTGTCAGTTAATACATGTCAAATCCAGGAAAGGAGCATTGGGAAGGTGTAAAATGGATATTGCGATATCTCAAAGGCACCTCAGGTATGACACTTTGTTTTAAAAGGAGAAATATTATCTTACAAGGTTTTGTTGATGCAAATTTAGGCGGCGATCTGGATAGTCGAAAAAGTACCACATGCTACGTGTTCACCTTGGGTGGTACTGCTATTAGCTGGATGTCTAGACTTTAGAAAAGTATTGCTCTATCTACCACTGAATCAGAGTACATGGCAATTTCAGAAGTTAGAAAAGAGATGATTTGGCTAAAGAATTTTCTTAAAGAGCTAGGTAAAAAGCAGGACAATTGTGAGCTTTTCAGCGATAGCCAGAGTGCAATTCATCTTGCCAACAATCCAGTGTTTCATGCAAAATCGAAGCATATCCAGTTGAGGTATCATTATATCCGAGAGTTGATAAGTGAAGAAACTCTTTCCCTGCAGAAGATACCAGGATCAAAGAACCCGTCAGACATGTTGACCAAAGTTATCGGTATTGACAAACTGAGGCTGTGCACTGCCTCAGTTAGCCTTCAAGACTGATAGGGTGAAGGCGCCACCAGAGAATAACAAATCTTTATTTTAATTTCTTTCTTGATGTGACATAGGTTTGGGGGGAAATTAATAGTAGCAAACCTGCTGTTGTATGTGAAAGAAAGAAAAGTGGACAAAAAAAAAAAGAAGATTAACTTATGATGTAAGCGCTTACATCGGCATTCTTATGATGTAAGCGCTTACATCGGCATTCTTATGATGTATGCGCTTACATCGGCATTCGTATGATGTAAGCGCTTACATCGGCATTCGTATAATGTAAGCGCTTACTTCAGCAGGGCATTCAAATGCCTATAAAAGAGTATAATATAAGCGCTTACTTCGGCAGAGCATTCAAATGCCTATAAAAGGGGTATGTATTTTCATTTGCAAATCATTCCTCAACTTCTTCTTTCTCTTTTCAATTAATAAAGAGTTATTTTTTATGTGGCCGTGGAGTAAGCAAAATTATCGAACCACGTAAATCTTATCTTGTGCAATTTATTACTTTACTCTTTCAAATATTTTTCCTTCTATTAACTTAACACACATTTTTCCTAAAAGTTTGCCTAAAGTATTAATGTTGTTTAATCATGTCTGCAAAACAATTACTCATAATTTATAATTAATGACATACATTTCTATAAGAACAATGAAAATAACGTAACTTCAAACTAAAAATTAAACCAAATTAACCACCAACTCCACGTCACCTCACATTTAAAAGGACAAAGGATAAACCAAATACACTTAAACAGCCAAGTTCAGTGCCCTTGACAGAGCCACAAACTTAAACTCTAATATATCAGCTTACACAAATTCAAGTCTTGTTTTCATGAACTATATCATGGTCACTACGTACAAATTGAATTAAAGACGTACTTAAAACTAAACTAAATTAAACCCTAGCTCCGGTGACACCAACTCCGCCGGGAGTGCCGCCGACCCCGTATTCGGGGTCTCTGTATCCTGGACCGTACGTGCTGCTAAACCCTAGCTCCGGTGACACCAGTAGTACCCTTCTCTCCAACTCCGCCGCCGACACCGTATTCAGTATCTCTGTATCCCGGACCGTACGTGCTGCTAAACCACCCAGCGTGAAGCATTAGAACGTAGAGAAGTTGGGTTACTCCAAGTACTATCACAAAACCCTCAAGAACTCGTAGTCTCCATCCTCTCCAGCCTCCTATGTTAATCTCCTTGCATGCCAATCTACAAAATAAAAATTGGTTAAGATCTATTAACTTTTATATTGACAGTATTACAAATAGTAACTATTAAACCACCCAAATCACTTAAATAAGAAGTGGATTTAAACACTATCAATGATTTTTAAGGTAGTAGCAGTTTAATGACCATCTTAATTACCATATTATCATTAACGTAATTACCACTTTTTTTGCAGAATGATTATGTAAATATTACATAGTGAGGATTTGATTTCTCGGAGGGAGGAAACCGGGGGTCTATCGGAAACAGAGGATTTGATTTCTCGGAGGGAGGAAACCGGGGGTCTATCGGAAACAGTCTCTCTACCCTGACTACCCAGGGTAGGAGTAAGAACTGCGTATAAACTACTTGAGATACAATCATACTGGGTTGTTGTTGTATTTACTTCTATCTTATGCACTAAAATAACTTAAACCGATGCTACTAATTAATACTAAGTGTTGTACATTTTCCATAATATAGGTGGAACTAATAAGGCGTGAAAAAAAAATGGTTTTCATGGGAAGCAAAATCAATTTTTGAGAATTGAAAAGCAGAAAAAAGGGACTCTAAAACTTTGAAGAAACTTTCGATAAAATGTTTTTTGCTCCCCAAAAACACAAAAAATCACTCTCTAAAAAAATTAACTTAAAAGAACTCTCTAAAAGTCTGGCCAACAAATTGATTAGCCGGCCAAACACAAACAACTTTCATAAGTAAGTTTCAAAATACTTTTTAAATTGATTAGTCAAACACAAATCCACTTACTCACAAAAAACAATTACAAAATAAGCTAATTTTATAAGTAACGCCAAACAGACAAAACCACCTTATTTTCAAGGTTGAACTTATTCAATTGAAACTAATGCTATTTCAAAATAAATTAATTCCAAAAACGCATTTCAAAATAAATTAATTTTAAAAGCGTGACAAAAAATGTATAATTATCTAATAAAATGAAACAATTACTACTTGATACAACATGCTAAATTACACTAATTAGTAGCAACTGTGAAATTATTTATAAATCAAATCCACTTTAAATACAATGTCTACGAAGATATTAAAGTACCCGAATGCTAGTGCAGTCACAGCCCAGGCTATTACAGCAGAGGAACCAGCAGCAGCAAGACTGTCATTTCTCCATGTCCTTAGATGTTTTGCACCTATCAGTTTCGATATTATTCCTAATACTGCTGCTAATATTGCGAATACGAGGAAGAACATCGTCGCTCCATTTCCTCCAAAACCTGCAAAAATTTACATAATATCAAATTCACTAAACTTTTCAAGTAGAAGAAAAGAGTTGACATAATCGATAAAGTTGCTGTCATATGACCAGAAGTTATGAATTTCATAACTTCAAGCCGTGAACTCTCGCAAAAATACAGGGTAAATTTACGTACAGTATACCTTGTGGTCCGGCACTTAGACGAGAACTTAATGCACCGAGTTGCACTTTACTAAGCCTTCCAAGTAAAAGATACTACTAAACTCACTCTTTCTCTCAGACTCATCAATTTTTAATTTCAAACGCCAATTATATAAATATATATACTCCTATCATTTTTTAGGAAGACTAAACGAAAAAGAAGTCACATAAATTGAAGAATATATAACATCTTATTGTCTTCATATATATTTACTTCATTTGGTTGCTGCATGCAAATATCGAGAAATATGTAATCGATAAACTCTTCATAAAGACATCCAAACTAAACGATCTTGAAATAAAATAAAACAAAGAAATATATCTATATGACTTGACCTTTTGTGCACCATTCAAAACAAAAAACCACATATTATCAAAAGAAGAAAAAACTAAAGAGAAATAAAGAACTTACTAGGATGATTAGTTTGGCCATTAATGAACCTGTTGAGACACCAACTAGCAAAACCTAAAACAATAAGATACATTACTAAGTTAATAAACAACAACGGTGCTGCTAATGTTTTTGCCACTGTCCTTGCCATTTTTTAGTCTTCTTTCTTTTCTTGTCAATGCCTTAACAATTTTTTCTTCTAACTTTGAGCTATTTTCCCTTCTTTCAGTAGGTGTTATTTATGGAAAAAAGGAGGTGGTATTGAATAATTTATATATAGAAAAAAATTAAAGATTATGAATTACGTGTCAAAATTATTTGCTTAGTTGCTTTGAACATTGAACAGGTGGAGGGAAACTTGTCAATTGCTAAGCTTATATTTTTTGTTCCTCTGGATTTGCACTTTTCAAGCATCATCAATGCCTATCCACAAGATAATAATATATTCTTCTTTAATTTATTATGTTGAAGACCGTTTTATTTGACATTTTGTGTTTCTCTGTGGGTGTCATGTTACAGCTATTTAGAAGCTACAGGAAACATCCACACATGCAACCAATTAACGGGAAAAAAGTTTATCCGTATTTGAGTATACTAAATTAATCAATATTGTCATGCAGGCAGTGTTAGAACGTGTGTAGCGGAATCAAGCATACAATTCAGGCATCACATATATATAAATTAGATAATGATATTATTACGAGATTAGAAACACTAACCTCTTGAAATCGTTGCAGGTCTTTCACAAAGCAAGAATCTCAGATTGCAATCTTCTGTTATGATCCTAGTAAAACCTTGGACGAAATTACTTTGAGTACGCAAGAACAATACAACTCTAAAAAGTGAGTTACCGGATGAAAAACGCCTTCCTTATGTAGACTCATTTTTCAGCCAAAAAGGACTCGAAAACACGTGTAGGATTCTGCTTGTGCAAGTAGAATCATACTCTAACTCTACAGGATACTTTTTCCCCAAGTCACTTTTTACCCAAGTCAATTCAGGTTTTTACTAGGCATAACAGGGACCACAGAAATAATAAGAGGATACTGATTATAGTATTAATTTGAAAATTTGGATGAATTAATTCCTACTATAATTAATTATAATTTATTCTACTAAAAAACTGCAATTGAACTCCTCAATATGAATTTTGAAAATTCACTAACACTTATTTTAACTCCTCATGTTAAGGTCACAAATACCAGTTAATTAAATTAAATCACTGACAATTTAATTTAATCAACTAATTAAATCCTTTATAATTCCACTTAAACTATTTCATGTGATAGATACAAAATTCACCGGTCAGATTTTCACATAAAAACTTATAAGCTTACATAAAGCGGTATCATCAAACTCTAAATCGAGTCATGGATTCTATCAACTAATTATTATTTCACAAATGCTATTCGTTATTGTCCAATCTATTAGGCATACACTAACTCTGAATAGAGTTGTACGTTTTGATAAATCAAAACAATAAACGAATCACATTGATCATAATAATTATATCAAGATTAGGAGTACAAGCTCATTTAATGAATTAGAGAAAA